GAGCATCATTATGCCTCGTGTAGCATCACACATCGAGTGACTATGAGGTACAAACGTGCCAATTCGTAAGTATTCATGTTTTGAGAAATACTTCATTATGTCACCCGGTGTACGACAAATTCTATCGTCCCTATTACAGAAAGCGAGAAAGTGGGGGAACCAGGGGTTCGAGAGACCTCTCCTGCTCATTCGAGATGCGCGAAACAGTTATGCTTTTATTTGACGTTTAGTATACTTCGACTGCGTCTTATGATTTGTGCAACTCTTCTTTCAAAAGTTTGAGTATTCTTAACATTATATCATTCGAATACACTTTGTATGGTAGAATACTGAACTTATCACTTGCTTCTGTAGTATTGGACGAAATTGTACGATTAACTAACTAACTCAGAAGAGCTGAACTTCCGAAGAAAAATTTCTATGGTCATCTCTTGTGTTTATACTTATAATCTGCACTTCCCACGTTCAAGAATGTACTTATTCTAACTATAATCGGAAACTTTTTCCAGGTATTGTCCTAATCCGAAACTTTTTTCCATGTAACATTTAATTTCTTATCGTGTTTCTTTTTCATAATAAATAGAAGTTTGTGTTATTTTATTATTATTTATTCCGTATTAACCTCTTTTCAATTTCCCATTAGTTTATCTTTATATGATAGTATTTTATAGTTCTATAATATGTATATTTTCAGTGAATTTCGTACTACATAATGCATGTAATCGGAAACGTTTTGCCAGGTGTTGTACATTTCATAGTGTATACAACTACGTTATATCGTATTATGCAGGGTGTTAATAAAAATGTGGGACACATTCACGGGATGGATTCTAGACACAAAACTAAGATGAAAATCAAGAATGACGAAATTATGTTCAAGGCTTCGTTACCGAGATATTAATTGTTGAAAATACGGACAAAATACGCCTGACATGCCTGGTTATTCTACTTTAGAGGCGTGCTTTTCAATTGTTTCACGGGTTGTTGTCATTCATTTGATTGTATTTCATTCTAAATTTAACTAGGCCATCGATCGATACATTCGACACTTTGTATCAGTTGGAAATCGACTGTTGTAAGTAGTATAATCCATCGCGTCGAACGTATGTATTTCACGCGTATTTTTCCTGTATTTTCAACAATTAATAACTCGGAAACCAAGCCTCGAACGCAAATTCATCATTCTTGATTTTCGTCTTACTGTTAGTCTGGTGTGTAGAATCCGCCCTGTGGAAATGTTTCATATTTTTATTAGCACGCTGTTTATTATACACATAGGGTGAATGTACCTAATACCCTCCATGTTCCTAATATCGTCACTCGTTATATCTCGTAAAACAGGTACTAAAATTATCGATCATGGACTGCAAAAGTACCTAACCTTCTACTAAAAAATTTTTCTGAATGAAAATAACGTTTTTCTTTTACCAGTATGGGTGTTCTCAATCCCGCCTACATTTAGTGTTGCCAATATCGAATTTTTTTCCAATACAAGATTTGCAGAGCAACCGAAATTAACTGTATTCGTCCAGTATGTATAATTGAACGTAAAAAATAAAATACTTTAAAAATACTATTCCTGTATTGTTATCATAAATACATATTTTAAACCTAATCCTAATAAAACAATTTATCCAAAAACATGCATATTGCAAAAAATAATAAAGACATATATGAAAATGACTTTAGAAAGTCATATATATACATGAATTAATTAGCATTTCTGCAGTAGGCGATATTAGGTACACTTTATTCAGAGCCCGTTTTTGTATATTTTATGTTCTTTGAGGCCCAATTAAAAATTTGTAGGTTTAATAGTTCTAACGTATACTACATGAAACATGAATAATTTCTCTTTACTTTGAGGCAAATAACACACAAAAATATCAATTATAATTCAATTGACAGCGATTTAACCTAAGCTAGGCTATAATAAGTACCTTCACTCTATTAAATATTTAATTTAGTATCCACACAATGCTAGTAGCTCTGTGTTAAAGTTTAGACTAATATACTGATAAATTGTTCCGACTTTTTAATTGTTAAATATAACTGATAAATATTTCAGGAAATTAGGACAAATTAATTATATGAAGATCGGTTTTACGAATTTACGTACATCAGAATAGTATATACGTTTAGAAAAATGATATTTATATGTACTAAACATATTAAAAAGTAATTATTATTGTTTATTTTATAGTTTACAGCTATGGATTGTTGTCTTTTTTGATAAATTAGTTTTGTATTTATAAACAAAATAAAAAATTAAATACATTCTGTAATTATTAATAAATACAGAGAAGCGTAACAGACGTGTATAAATCAGAGAAAGTTAACATTTACTTTTCGTTTACAATTATATTAAGTTCATTCATTAATCTGGTGTAAACAAATTGTTTAAACGTTTACAAATTAACCCATAATTCGAAAACATGTATCAACAATTTGTAATAATATCTATTTAGGGCATACATGCTTCTTTTGGTTTCTTTGGAATTCTTTTTAACTTTCTATATACTCAAAAATATACACTGTATATGTATAAAAATATAGGAGGTCATGAAATCTTCTGCAAATCGACGTCTCATATACGGTAAACAACGCGTGAAAATGTCTAAGAATTCTGTAAATTGAAAGTAACTGTAAAAAAGGATGCGTTCTTGGTAATAAAATCTTTACTTGATTCTTAAAATCTGAAGGTTTACTAGTTTCTTTTTAATGAAATACCCGTAATACATTATATTCTAGATGTTTTTATAATCATATTCCAGTTATTTCGTAATAAAATAGTATTTTCAGTTCTACTAAACACTAAATACTTCGATATAATAGGGCAAGCGTATGTTAATGACAGTTAATATACGATAATTTTTAGTTAATTACATTTGTTAGACAGCTACTACTATGTAAACAAAATAAAAACATTATTAATGTAATAAAAATAGTTTTTTGAATTTAAATATACTTCACCGTTAATTAGAAATATATAATGTTATTCGTTTTGGTATTTTGAGGAATACATACCCGATAAAAATAACATTAATCAGTTTATTAAATTTCTATATACTATAAAAAAGATACTATGGGTATCTATAATTATGACTTCAATAATTATTCCACAGATTACCAATAAACAGATTGTCATATTTCTTCGTTATTTGGAATTTTGTATTTAAATAAATTTTTCTTTACATTTCATAGAAAAGCATGAAACAACCCCCCGTCCTCGCCTCACCCCCTGCGGAAGTTATAAAATTCGTCTAAACATTTTTTTAGACATCTTCATCGTTTACTTCACCGTTACATTGATTTGTAGCAGGTTACGTGACTCACCCCGCACATTGTGGAGACATCAATGAATTGCACGTAGTATCGGATCGAAGGTCGGAGCACATTACAAGATGAAGAACGAGCTGTACTCCTGACGTCATTCAGACACGTGCCAACAAAACTGCCACTCTAATGATACTAACGATGTTGTTGGCTAAGTGGGTCACTTAAATATCAACGGCAATAAGCGGTATAACAACTTTCGTATTACTGGGACCCTTACATATCGCGATAATAATAAAGCTTCTTACTCTTTCAACAAACGACTTAATACGTGCAAATCTGTTTACCCTTAATTTAGTAGCTGTTGTTAGATATCTGTACAAATCAGTGATTTGATCTTATAACAACAGTTATATATTCCACGAAATGAAAAAGTCCTTGAAGATATATTTTTTAAAATATAAGATATTTGAATCTGCTTTAGTATTTTAAGCAATCAAAAATTGCACCAATAGTGACACGATGAACACAACATATAATATTTAGTTCCTAACAGAACTGAAATTATTTACAGTGCTAAACTTTATTCTAAATTATATTTTTTAATTAGAAGAAATGTTAAACAACATTGTAATATTGTATAGTTTCATGTAAATGCATGTTTTCTACAAGCGTATCTTGACAAATTTAACATTAAATGTAAATAAATTAACTTCAATATCAAAAGAAATTTTAATCAGTACTTCATTTTAGAAAATACTCCAACATTCCTAACAGATTTCCCATAACATATAACCAGTACGTGATTCGAAGTGCAGAAATCATTCGAAAGTATACATATAAGAAAATTGTATTTCAGAAGTTATTAAGAAAGTGTCATATTGACTGATACGATTCCGGCCATTCTGCATGTTTGAAACGAAAAAAACCAAAAAGATTCTTGATTACTTTTAGTGTGGCTATGGCGTGAACCAGCATGAAAAATAATATCGAAACTTTAAAAAATGGCGACATTTTGAAATTTGAATATTCAGTTCCTCGTGTTTCTTCGTATTTTGAGTGATAGAGAAGTCAAGAAAAGGAAATAATTTTTGGTGATGCTGGTTCGTGCAGTACCTGTACATTTATCGAAGGTGTACAAAACATGTGAATTTCAATTAGTCAAGTAGAACTTGAGATGACGTGCCGGTCCTTTAAAAAAATACGGTTGCGAAAAAAACGCGTTTAAAGCTTTGTACATTGCATGCTGCGGGTTGCGTGTCGTCTTTTTTAAAACATCTACATAGTCAGGTAATAAATTCTGTCGCATACGGTATTAACAATTAACAAGAGAATAACAATGTGTAGGAACAACAATTCATCAATTTGTGACAGAACTTAATAACCGACTACCTATGTATAATCTATAAATTCGTTAATTTTACGAATTCCAGCATATCCTTTCGCAGATATATTTTTCGGAAAATTATACTTTCAGAAAATGGGACCAAAAGAAATCGATTTGTTGAAAAGTCTAGAAAATACCCTCTTAAGGCGTAGCACTGAGATAATTAAAAATTAATTAACGATAAGCGAAAAGGGTTATTCAACGGTTCGTAAATGAACGTGTGTACATACATTCTCGAATCTGGTCTCTCGTGAATGTTTCTCATAATTCTTTAATCGCAGTGCATAGGGTGGTTGTGGTGGTGATGATGGTGGTTGTGATGGTGGACGGTTAGCGGTTACTGGGCGGCTGTGGCGAGGTGGTGCTGTGTGGACCAGTGCGGTGGGACTGAGGTAGTCGGTGGTCGTACTACGGGGGCGAACGCACTCCCGTCCCCGGACGTATAGAAAATGCCATACTGTTCGTGCGCTAAAATGAAAATTTCACATAAGGGAAAATCATAATGTGCGTGCACTTGAACGAAATACTAAACGTAGGAAGCGGATGCGTGTTAGGATTTCGTATACACGTACATGTATACATATATGTATAGTATATACATGCTCCTTATAAGAAACTGCATATCGAATTGTATCGAAGTAATAACACTTTGGGAATTCTATCAATTTTTACATTTTTGCTGGCATACATTCTACAGAATACATATACAGGGTATCACGCGCAAATGAATAAAGTTATACATATTCTTAAAACGGTAGGAGGTAGAAATAAAGTTCACTGGACAAATTTAAATGGGTTTCGCATGATGCATGATGCATCATGGTACATATGTTTGTGCCGTAAAGTGGAGGCCTTTTGAAGATTTTAAGGTCACCTTCATTTTTTAAAGTAAGACTGCAAATTTTTATATTTATCAAGTGATGTGCTTTTTTATTCTGAATAAAAAAAGTACTAAGTTATGTATGTACATGTGTCGAAAAGTAATTAGATTGGATGATTGGTCACTTTTCTGTATTCATAAGGTTTTCATGTTTGCGATCAGCACTCCATCATTCATTTAATCGATACAAAAGTATTTCATTTAACTGCAACATTTCAAAATATTCGACTAAACAATGCCTAGAAGCGTATTGAAGTCGTTAGTAAACACGAGTAGACGCACATAAGAAATGTTGAAGCTAGGTTCAAATAAAATGTAAAATTGCAGTTAAAATATTTTTTAAATTAATCATTTTTCGACATAAGTACACTAATAATTTTTTATAGAGAATAAAAAAAAACGCACCAGCTGACGTATATATAATCATATATATGTATATATAGTTATATTTTTAAAAAAATAAAGGTGAACTCGAAATTCTTGAAAGACCCCCACTTTCGAAGAGGACATATACACCAGTGATGCACTACACGATACTATTTAAACTTCCCCAATGTACATTTTTTCTACTGCTCAGTCTTTTAAAGATACAACTTGGTACAGTGCAGTGAGACACCTTGTAAATGAGCAATTTAAACGCGCTTCGTTTGCTAGAGTTCTCAGGCTATATTCTTCTAAATAGAAAGCGTTGAAACATTTATTGCGTAGATGATTATTTGAAACTTGGAGCACTAAAAGGTTCGATAAATTGTAACAAAGTTCTCATAAAATTTGAAATCAGGATGGAGTTATTAATAAAGTACCTATGATTCTATTTGTTTCATTTTCTATAGATTACTTCATAAAGAACTGTATTTGCATAAATTTCCGCCAGTCTATTTATTACAATAAGAATTTATGATGATACGGTATTTAAACGGTATTTAAATAAATTTCGAATTACACAAACAAGTGTTAAAGCAACGATATAGAATAGGGCACGGATGGTTTAAAGAGCATAGAACTGATACTTACGCGACGTGTAAAGGGTTGGACTACTGGCGTACGGATTCGCGACAGAGTAACTCCCATTGGTGCTGTGACTGTGGGGTGTGCTTGCTGAACTTCCGCAATAACCGCCACCGGTTACAACCCCACGTGGACTCGCGCTACTGCTTTGCCTATAGGCGTCGACGTTGCCACCGACGCTTCCTCCGACGCTACCACCGCCACCACCGCCGCCTCCGCCTCCAGCATTGGCTCCTGTCGTCACGGAATTACCGTCTAAAAATAGAAACCTGCCCGTCAGACGAACTCGTCAGTATTTCATCATTCTGTTCGTAACTTGTTGCCTAATGCTCTGTGACGATGAACCAAGTAAAATATAAGGGGAAATGTGTTTTGCGATTTCAGACGACTTTCCTCGTGCTAATAGAACCACGAAACAGTGACCTATTTAATCACTTTAATCCCTGTTCGAAATAATGTTTTGACGATTTGCTGATAATAAATTATGAAACTCGTTGAAACAAGATATTTTTGTAGCTTTTGTAACTTACGCGAATAAAGTGAATTCGAATAAAAGTGAAACTGAAAGGTGAATTCGAATGAAAATGATTTTAGTACAGGTCTCTTCGTACAATTTAGGTTGTTCTGCAATTTTTTTTAATTTATTCGAATACGATCTGTTTCATTCTAATTCATAATGTTTGGTCAATCTGAAGAATGAAAATTTTCGTGTTTTCATATAAAACGTGTAGCATGCCCGAACTTTTCTTTTACATTGCTAATAATATTTTACACAATCTATCGTACAGTCATGTCAGAAAAGAATGTGATCAGACGGTTTAAGGAATTACGTAGAACTACTATTTAATCTTCGTAATTGATTGTGTAACTTTATAATTACCGTCTCCTATGCAGCATAGAATAACGTTCTAATATTTACCGTCCGTCCATTTCGCCGCACTACCATTTTCCTGTACCGTCACTGCCAGCTGCCCAGTATACGAGTTGAACGCTGTCGCCGAACTAGAAGTAGGCGGTGCAGGTGGATGACCAGATCCAGGACTCCTAGGAGCACCTGTGATTCCCGCGTTTCCGCTTCTTGGCATACTATACAAAGCTTCCGCAAGATCCGCCGCCCTTTTCAGTATAATTTCTTTCGGTAATTTTTCGGGGTCACCAGGGTGTCGTGGAATAAGTTTTTGTAACCTTTGGAAACCGTAGTCAATTGTTGGTTCGTTTAATGCTGAAAAATGGATAACAGAATATATTACTTCCAGGGACGATATGTAAATGAGCAAAATTGAATAAAAGTTTCTAATTTAAGGAGGAGAGATCCGCCTAAAACCGAATAATTGGGTAAAACCGGGACCTACTATTATTTATAAAACGGGTTTAAAATTTCTCACGTCGTTTTAATCACGTATCGCAGTCATTCGCATTAGTTCATCATCAAACGCCGATCACGATACACGTATGCTAACCAGGGTTATGATGTTTTCTGTGTTTTTGAGTGCTTTAATCTAATTTTCTATCGGTTTAAATCTTCACAACTAGAGAAAGTGCTAGGTAAGTACTTCTTGGTATACATTATACTATTTGTCGTGTATTAAAGTGTAAATTAACTGTATTAAAGTCGCTGGGGATCTGAAGAATTGGAGGAATTCCGTCGCCACAGATGCTAAGGGGGTATATCGGGTACGGTACCCGCTTTTATCCAGACTATGGGGCAAAATCGTATCTGCGAAATGTAGGTTGTATCTACTTGAATTCGATATTTTTTGAATTTCTCTTTTTCCTAAAAAACTTAAATGTAAGATATATTTTGGTGTAGATGTTCTCTTAGTAAACCCCAATTTCAATTTCTTTTTTATTTTATAAATGTCAGAGTTAATGAAATTTTATTCTTACGGTGTCCTGGTTATAACCCAATCTCGTTTACTGTTTGTAGTTATTTGTTTAAAACATGGTCTTAAGTTTAAGACATGTTATATTTACATGTTATACATGTCAGTTGAAGTGTCATTCTGTTTTATATTACCAATTTTGCACTTTGTATGTTGCTGTTACTTCCTGAGATGGAATGTAACAATCGTATATACCTACATATATGTACCTGCATAATTCTGAACGAATAATCTCCAACAAATGTTCTAACATTTTGTATCGTATAAAAGATAGTGATTACACTCACAGACATAAACGAATCTTCCAGGCGCCCCTTTACAAAATTGCTTAGTTTTATACGATAGTGTGACTTCGACGACGCCTGGTATCTGCCTCGGCGGAGTTTGGACCCTGATTGCGTTTGGTGTAATTAACTGAAAATAAGAAATTTGGAAACTTCATAAAGACTTCATAAAGTTATCAAATGTTAATTTTTTTATTCATCGTTTTAATGTTTGCTGTCTTGTGTTATGGGACGATTCACGTACCTCGCTCCAAACCAACATCGATCCAAAAACTACTTGAAGCCCATCGAAGAAATTTTCACCTATAATTATCACTGTAGATCCTCCAGACGTCCACCCCTCGTTTGGCGATATCGCTTTAATGCACGGTGTTTGAAGGGGTACAGGCGTGTAGAGACCTAATAGTATAAAGACAGAAGTTTGAAATTATAGGTCTGAACGACTCTTTAGTAGTTTATTGTTTTTTAGACATCGAGTAACATTGTAGGCAGTTAGTACGTAAATAGTTACACTGCTCGTCAGGTTCATAAGATACCCCAACAATTTTGAAGTTCATTATCTTCCATGTATTTTCCGTACATGAAAACATTGTGATTTATTAAATTATTAATAAAAACGACGCTTTTGTTAACAAAAATTAATGTTGCTAACTTTAATGTATTCATTAACACTGTACTTGTAATTTCTGCCCTCGTCAGATTTATAAGACACGCGTTCTTCGTTCCTTTTTTGTTCTTATTTGGTATTAATGGGAAAGTGTGTGGTAACAGACAGATGTGTAAAGTGTCATGCTGATTAACACGTATCTAGGTCAGATCTTGGTTCGGCGCATTATTATGTATTAAAAAAATAACACTGTTCAACACGTAAAAAAATTTGCAATATTCAATAGACGTTTGTAGTAGATATGTATGAGTTGAATACAAATATGCAACCTGTTTCTTTCTAGCACGTCCAGTTTTTGAAAAAATCAATTTTTTTTTTAGACTGCATGTTTTCAAATTTGGAGCTGTGTTGGGCTTTTACAATAATAGTTATTCAGTTTCCTTTGACACGAAATAATTCTCTGGATTCTTCCGAACAAAATGATGTAAACTGTTATTATATTATAGACTTTAAATATGTTTAAAGAATGTTCAAATTAGAAAGGACACCGAAAACGTACCTATTTTTGCTGGTATTCGTCAATTTATTTAAAAAACTAAGGGTCTAAGAGAAAATCAAATTATAGCCCTCGATAGAGCAGACCCTTCTACTGAGGAAGGTGTCTAGGAAAGTTACAAAATCTGTGTTGTTTTAAATAGGGAAGCGAAATGGTTCAGCAAAACATGCAGCGGCGATAGTGGTACTCAATAACAGCGGTCGCCTTGCCTACCACTCACAATCAGCGTAACGGAAGCGCTAAACATGCGCAGAATTATTTCGTGTGAAAAGAAACTGAATAACTATTATTGTAAAAGCCCAACACAGCTTCAAATTTGAAAATTTGCAATTTAAAAAAAAATTGATTTTTTCAAAAACCGGACGTGTTGGAAAGAAACGGGTTGCATATTCGTATTCAACTCTTAAATATCTACTAAAAACGCCTATTGAAAATTGCAATTTTTTTTACGTGGTGAACAGTGTTATTTTTTAAATACACTATAATGCGCTGAACCAAGACCTTAATCAGCATGACACCTTAGACACATGTGTGTTATCACACACATCCTCATTAATATGAAATAAGGACAAAAAAGGAACGAAGACCGTGAGTGTCTTATAAATCTGATGACGGCAAAAATTACAAGTACAATGTTAATTAATACATTAAATTTAGCAACATTAATTTTTGTTAACAGAAGCGTCGTTTTTATTAATAATTTAACAAATGATAACTGAGCACAGCCAAGTTATCAGTCGGGGGGCGGGAGGGGGGCAAGGGTATTAACACATCAACTGCCAAAGTGAAAAAGGCTGTACGTAGCCAGACACTGAGGGCACAGAACACTAGAGAGGCTATTGGTTGTGTTTTAAATTATACTGCAATATTAAATATTAAGCAAAAATTTTGTAACTCTGGGAGGGGGGGGGCAAATCCAACTTTTTTCTGTCCAGGGGGGGGGGGCAAGTGCCCCCCTGCTCCCTGGCTACGCCTATGAATCACAATGTTTTTATGTACGAGAAATACATGGAAGATAATGGATTTGAAAAATTTTGCAGTGTCTTATAATCCTGACGAGCAGTGCAATACTATTGTCAATTCCTAACATTTGCATTATTACTAGAATTTGTTTACCTATATCTTCATAGGAATAATATTTGCAAGTATTTCTCATATTGTTCAACTGACGAGTAGATAAGTATCGAAAGAATTAAAGCAGAATATTTTTCGTGATCATTAAGATCGAAGAATATCAGGGAAGATTTCTCGTTCAAATTCCACGTACATAAATCATAAAAACAATAATACACGGTGTACAAGGGGAAAAAACTCGTATGAGAATAAACCGAGAAATTACGCGAATCCCCCTTCCGCCTCCTTTCCAGCAAACTGCGTGAGGTGAGCTGAGACAGTTAGTTAGGGGTGGGATACGGAAAATTATCTGAATATTCTGTTTATTCGGTCGAGGCCGAGTGGTAGATATATCTTCCGTGGCAGCGTGGCAAGCAAGTTCAAGCCACGAGGATGGGAGAAAGTAAGAGGGAGGGAAAACGACAGAGAACCTATGAGGGAGAAAGACGTCACCGCGTAGAAAGAGAAAGAGAAAGAGAGAAGGGAGGAAGAGACTGAGGGTCGGAGTGGCCGGAGAAGAGTTGTAACAAGAAGGAGGGGGGGGGGGCGATCGGGGCCGTTGGTGTCTCTGCTTGGAATTTATAACCCAATGATATCATTTTGTACCCCGGCGAAGCCAAGCCACCCCCGGTACCGACCCTGGTAGAACGGAGCAACGGCAGAGTGGCTGACATCATGGTATATTGCTCCCAGTGATGCTCAAACAGTTTCCACCTTCGAGTGCTTACGCGTCGTTCTGGCTATTAAATCTCGAAGGCTTAAGAGATCTCGACAGTGGATGTCCCGTGCTCAAAGACAGTAACGCGGAAAAGGCTTCTGTGTTTCGGGTCACTCTCGGCGTTTGCGTTAAACCATTGACAAGTACATATTAATTTGTCCTTTGAGAAAGTGTACTAAAACATTAGATTCAATTTTAAATTCCTAATTTATTACGCTTTCTTATAATCTTTTCATCTACGATATATTGTGTAGTCAGGATTATAAAGGTGTTTTAATGCGAATGTCAAACTGTATAGGAATACGATAACATTTTATTCGATTATATGTACTTTCCATTGCGCGAAAATATGTGGCGATTTAAATATAAGAGCAGATCGCGGCGTTAAAGAGTTGCAATTCCGGTGTAAATGAGGATTCTTGAATGGGACGCAGGTATTTATTGCGTTCAATGTACAAGAAAGTCGTTAAACAGAGTCAGCCACGTTGGCAACCACTCTGGTGGAGAATTGTCGGGCGAAATGGTATGAGGCAGAAACGTAGGAAGAGGTGGAGTGGAAGGAGGAGTCGGTGTGGGTGGAGGAAGAGGAGAAGGAGGAGGAGGAGGGTTGAAAAGAGGGATTCAGTAGAGGAGGCCGGAACAAGCGTACCAACCCGGAATAAATAAAATCCCCCGTACCATTACTGAGTAGTAAGGGGTGCTACTCTCTACTCCCGAACTCCTCTTTTACCACCAAACCGTCGTCGAAATCGAGGAGCCGTTGTGCTCCAACATGTTCGGTCCGATTCTCTCTGATCACTGTGAGATCGCGATATAACTTCGTTCATCCTGGTAAATACTCGGGAAGTTCTTCAGAAAAAGTTGCTTTCACTTTCACCAAGAACGGCATCATTAATTGTTTCATAGTTTCATGACCAAGCTGCTTTCTCTCTACTCGAACGGTTTAAATGCTCTACTATGTAGGAAGTTTTGGTTGCACGTTCCGAGTGTGTATCAGGCACTTTAGAAAATAACAGAATATTTTGCATAGTACTAGAACAAATTAAAACAAACGGAAATTGTCTTTAATTATGTTCAGATTTGAGAATACCAGTACATATAGATTTGTTGATATTTCGTAAATTTTAATACTGTATAGTATTTTGATCATTTGAATTTAACGTTAAAGTACCGGTAAACACGAATGAAATGTTTTCCGGAATGTTTACAAAAATTCATACTCAATGTCAATATAAATAACGTGATAGTTCTCTTTACAGTAAATCCTCAGTGAATATTCGAAAGCTCCTTGGCACTGACAAGGAGAGGTCCCCAGGTGTAACGTTGATTTTTTAATGAGTTTTAACACAGTGATAGAGTTTAGAATTCTGAGGCCAATGATATTTGTTTCAGCCGCGTATGGCCATTTGTTTATGAAATATTTAACGTTCAGTGCTGAGGAGCCTTAGAACACTCATCGAGGATTTAGTGTATTCTGTTCACGACATCCTATCTTGTCCTTTTTCCTATTTCTTTCTTGTTTACATTGCTTCTACCAGTCTGTTTTTGCCCTCCTACTAAATATTTTTTGCGACAATCTATTGCATGTTTCAAAAATCAAGCATGAATTATTTATTCATGACTCAGCACGCAACCCCAACTACTAAGAGGAAGGTGTAATAGCGAGATCAGTGCAAAGAAGAAAAAAAAATAGAAAGGGAAAAGGTCCGATTGGCATTCCTTTCTCATTTTTTTTTCCTCCTTTTTTTTTTGTTCCACCAGATAAAAATGGAGACGTGAAAAGGCGGCAAGGCGGAAAGAAAGGTTGAAACCTGCGGAGAGGAGCGAGCGCGTAGGGATGGAGGGAAATAATAGTAAGGAAGGAAGCACAGAGAACGTGGCGCGATCCCCGTTTTCCCCGCATCCCATTGATTTACATCTTGCCTTTGCGCAGGAAGAAAGAAAGGCTGGAAGAAGAACGCCGGGAAAAGAGAGGAGCGCGTAGTTGAGGGGTGGCCGCACGATATCAGCCGTTTGTATGCGCGGTCGACGCCAAACTTTGCTGAATTGCCCTATGACTCCTTATATCCTATCCTCCGAGCACGCCCTCTCTCGTCCTCTTACGATTCCTCCCTCTACTATGGCTCTCGAGTCGTTATACCGATCTCGAAGAAACCAACCCTCGGGTTCCTCCATCCTTCCCCGCCCTGGCTTCTCATTCGCGGATTCAAACAATTCCATTCTGACGGGACAACACTTTCGCTTGTCATTATCCTATGAAAAATATTTCAGAGAACACATGAAATGTTGTTAAGATTGAAGACACTAGATTATTTTAGAATTTTCAAAGTATATGGCAGAAATAGATTATATTGTAATCGTTCAATGATATTGTAAAATTTCCAAATTCGTGGAGTTCTAGCATTGCAGTTAGCAGTTTTAAGTACTTTAGTTTGATGGAAATGTTTTCATAGTCGTAATGTCGCGATTTTAACATCCTTTCGGTAAATTCCAGATTGTTTTGTAAACATATTATATGTTTCGCAATGAATGTAGGTACTTCTACTGTTACAAATAAAGTCTGGAATAAGCTGTTCGTTGTAAGCAGTGGAGCAAAGGGTAGCGATCAAATGAAATTATTATGAACATTAAAGGCGTTGTTGGAGTGGAAGCAAAGTGCAATGAAAGCATCGTTTAATACTCTACATTCAAGTTAAGTTGAATCATTTTCACGTTATAGTCGTTGTCAGTTTTGTAATGAACACATTAACTGGCTCGTGTTACGTAACATTAAGTTTTGTAATGTAAATACAATAGAGCCTCTCGTATCCGAATTAATAGGGAGACGAAAGTGTTCGGATAACAGAAGGTTCGAATAGCAGAAAATTCGAATATTAGGGCATTGAGATAATGGCTATTCGGATACAGGAGACTCTACTGTATTTACATAATTTCTATTCGGATGCAGTCACTACTTCTCGATTATATGTGTTTTCGTACGGCGTTTGTGTCTATGATTTGCGATACTTACTATTGTATTCACCAGGATCACTGGGATCCAATCGCTTCGCTCTGCGCCCGTGTTTGCTGTTGTTGTGAACGAACATGTTGTCCGAGACTGCCAGCAGTGGCCCCTCTACTCCTACTTGCGTGGAAATGACCACCTGTTACAGAAGATTGAAATTCGCCAACGTGAGATTTCGATCGAAAATTCCGTGAAACTTTGAGAACAAGTTCTTTCGGTCCATTTTCGAACAATAAAATATGTATCTATAATGTATTCCCATATTTTCCGAGTAGATTCCATTTAAAGTAATGATAAGAAATTTTCATTACTTTTACAATTAATTACGAAACATTAAATTAACAAAATACATAGACATTAGCGTTTTCAAAGTATTGAATAAAGAAACTTATGTTAATAAATAATCATTATTAATAAATAATAATCATTGTTACTAGTAAACAAATCGGATCAATCTGTCAGAATTTTAGTGATCATTGTTATGTGAAATTTAGCAGGATGTTTATACGATAATTGCGTCACATAACACGCTGTAATTTGGTGTACGTGTAATGTAGGTGCGTACACATGCTAATCACACCTTCCTGTGAATGAGCAATGCAGCCTGATTTGCTGCATCACGCTATATGTATTCGCCATGTATTTCGTGACGCTCGTGACACCCCTATTTACACGTATGATAGATATTATCATACAAATGTATGAATATAATCTCATTAAGACTGAATCTTGGGATATAACTATACTACTATGTATACGACTAGGCCGAAGCATTATGTGTAGTATTAATTGATTTATTCGTTATATATATTTTCTTTTTATAATACACAGAAAATATTGCTGTGCGTAAACCCTTATCACAGATTGAAACAAGCCGTGTATTTAACCTCCAGTTTTTCGAGCATGGACAAGAGGACGACGATTTTCGGGAGAAAGTAGAAAGAACGTTTATAAAATCGGCCGGGCGGTCGGTAAATGCCGGAAGTTTTGTCCTTTTGCAACTTGGCAACTTTCTTCGTTGGTCGGCTTCGTATTACCTGGCGCGTAACGTAGTGCGAATTTGCCCGGCACAAGCTTGAGCATAACCTGACGGTCCTTCGCGAGAGAAATTTTGTGCGGAAGGGAAAGCTGTGTGCCGCTAAAATTTTAATTCGCAACTCCGAGCAATAAGCAATTCCTAAACAAATTTGAAAGCGCGATAACAACTTAACTTTGGTTTGCTTTTACTCGGAAACTCGAGTGAATGTTATTAACGTGAATAACTTTATCGTAACTTATGAAAATTATGCAACAGATTCTTTGTATCAATATACTTTAAATTGCTATAATCTAACACTTCTATACGTATGTATGCATATTTCTGTAGAAATTTCTGAACTTTGTTGCAATATGTAATGAATAAATTTAATCTTGGATAAGGTAAAGATATGACAAGAAATATTTTTGAATTTACTGGAAAAAGCATTAAGAATTCACATCTCAATTATTATATATGCAGGATACTTAACAGACTTACAATTGTTTTATTTTCTTACCCTTTGATGCAAACATGACACAGATTACGCGTTTCTATACAAATGTTATAACAGCAATGCTACCTTGAATTATCATAATTAATTTCACAATTAAAACATCCGCTTATACTCTTAAGCCGTTGTGTCTTGCTCAGTAATGCGGTGGCTGGAATGACACGACAGGAGGCTCGAATCAAATAAAAGTGAGCGAAAAGACAGAGAACTTTCGGGTAATATATTTTTTAATTCTACCTTTTTACCCGGGCATGGGCGGAGTGGCGAGATATGGCTGTCGGTGAGTAGGAGAAACCGTAATACGGAGATGGGATGGAAGGGTGAACGGATACAGGGGTGGGTTGGTTGATGCCGTGCTGAGCTAATTGCCAACCCCTTGGATTACGTCTCCTGGATGGGGATCTCAACTTTCGACGATAGCCGACCACCATCGAGAAATTGCTCGTTTCCTCGACGGACTTCTTTTCCTTTTGGAAATTAAAAAGAATGCCGCCGAGTGGGGAAGGTGTACGCATCCACAGTCGCGGTACACGGTAATACGGTGTCACGCAATTGCGGGGGACTTTCGGTGTTCTCGTCTCCGTCCGTCCGCCCCTATAATTTCACGAATCGTGACCCGAATCACGATAGACTTTTCTATAGCAATTCCCGGTTCTGATAAAATTTCAATCTGATTTCGTAATATCTAATTAGAAGCATTAGACTGTTGAATATCTAATAGGGTAAACTCTGGCAAGTCTATGATAGTTTCAGAATTTGTCTATTAACGGGGCTAATGTTTGCATCTTCTGAAAGTGAGTGAAGGATGTAATTACGTCAGTTATCATACAAACAAATAATAGGTTAGCAGGATTTCACTAATTGTAAGTGTATTTAATTGAGTGAATATAAGATTAAATTTTTACGAAATACTGGTTAAGTGTGAAAAACAGAAAGAAAAGTGTCGTATAGATACACATGATGTTATATAACATTTTTCCGTGTTATGTAGCAAGTTACATGTTATCCATCAAATGTGATACCATTACTAATAATGAGATGCGAAATGTTATACAGACTTGTGTAAAAGGTATAGTCTTGTAACGAGTTATAAAAACATGTGTATAGCAAGGTTATATAACAATCTGTTATGTAACACTGTTTGCTACATAGTGTAGACGCAGCTTTACGCTACGATAATGATAACATTTTGCTTATTCCGCGACAGTTGTTGCTAGGTCATGACCAGTTACTTATTTATTATTGTCTATATTATTATTATATTATTATGTATGTTTTTTATTATTATCAAGTCATTATTTGAGGTTTATTATTTTATTATTGTTACATAAGAAAACATTGTTTCTGATATGTACGTAGTTTCAGTTTGTCTCAAACAGTGCAATAAGGTTAAGACACAAAATAAATAAGAATTCAGTTACTTTTTATAAATAAAATAAAACACATACCTTTTTCATGATAATTTTAAGTTTGAGACTGGTTAAAGTAATATTTCATCATCACTGACCTGTATTTTTAACGCTCTATTTATCTTTTAAGGCACACATAATATATGAACAAGTAATGGCCCACAATTAGCACGAAAAATAACACAAATAGTACTCCACGGAATAAATAGACAGGTTCTTTCACTTCATCGCACTAACATCAATTGATTTTTTAACCGTAACATAAATCAGAACACCTGCACGGTCTGGTAGTTTTCGTTTAATCTGAATTGGGCCTAGCAACTTCGTGTTAGAGACGAACGAAGAAATATCAGGGATTAAGCAAAGTTTACCTTACTCCATTTGTAAAACTCTTCGTATATATTTTTATGATAACCAAACACATATCTATATTCCCCTAAAATATTTCTACGCAATGGAAAAGTCAGTTTAAGTGGGAGTTTATTTAACGATATATTATTTTGCATAGACTGATTTGAGACCTGTGTATTTGTCCACGTGATAAGTAGAAACGGCAGCAAATGAACAGACACACCAGACGAGTTCTATATGTAGAATAACAGACTACTCATCAAATGTCAATAATTTTTCTTAAAAACAAAGTTCTATTTGCAAAATTGTTTTGTCTAGATATTAAATTTATTTCTGCTTAATTAATTTATTATGGTTGCATTCTATCCTCTGTTTATGAAAAAATGTATATTTCTCCAACGTTATTTATAGAATAACTTCAAATTAAATTTATAAAGCAGGTCTAGAAATGTTTTGTTATACAAAACTGAAGACCAGAATTATTGTATACATGATTATGTATGTATAAACATATTTTATATGTATACGGAACGGTCTGAAAAGCATTTAAAAACAGTATATTTCGTAGTTTTATCAGACTATATATATATATATATGCAAAATTTTTACATCATTATAAATTGTTATACATTCTATTTTGTAATTATAAGGAAAAGAATTATTTTAAAAATCTTGTGTACAATGTACATATACATGTATGTATACATATATTGTATATATAATTGTGAGTTTTAAAATAATTCTTTTCCTTATAATTACAAAATAGAATGTATAACAATTTATAATGATGTAAGAATTTATCAATACAAATTACAAGTGAAAAAACAACTTATATGTATAAGACGTCAGTTTTACAAAACTAATAAAAGTTGATTTAAAGTACCACAATTCTATTATCCTAACAACCATACCTACGTTACTCGTAAGTTTTACGAGACTTAGAAAATGTTTTTTAAACAGGAATAGTAAAGGTTACCTGTATTCTTGCCCATTTACTTTTAACGTTCTAACTTTTGTGTAATGTGTCAATAATACTTGTGTGGTAATATGTATTTTCAGTGAACTAATAAAAGTGTAAACGTATACAACGTATCACTCATAAAAGATTTACGTGCTAACTCACCTGAAAGCGCCTCATATCGCGTGGGTTGCCGGCATTCTTGAGGCAGTTCTGGTTGCACTTGAGAAAGAACTTAAGGAAGAATCTGAAAGCAGAAAGGACTGCAGTTAAACGGTTGACAAGGTACTTAACGCTTTTCAACGTCGAGAACTTAATTAGAACGCGAACTTGGCCGGAAAGTAAGTCTGAATATTGCATAAGCCAATCGCAAGCCCCGCTCTACTCGCCTCTATTATTCAGCATTTCTTTAGATTAAACCCCCGACCACGTGTTCTTTGACCTTTAGGACCGTACGGCATTGTAAGTTTACCTACTACGAGGCTACTATACCCGTTTACGAAAATGTCAAATGTTACATTCTTCTAAGAATTGTTTTATTGAATGGGTATTGGATTAGAAAGTTCCACATTTACACTGCTATAGGTACAATTATACAGGAATGGGAATATCCATTATATAATTGAAAATAGGGTAATTAATCGTGCAAAAATACTATTTAAAAAATGTACAAACTTTTTGTATACGAAACTCTGTTCTTGAGGAGATAAATTTTGAAGTCAAACACGTGCACACTGAAGGGCAACTTTCATAACTTACATGTTTTTTACTCTTACTATTTATTTGTGTTTGTATTAATGTTTACAGATATTTTATATTGGTAGAACATTATTTGTTACTCACAATAATAAAATTTATATAGCCGAAAATATTAAAATACATTGAAAGCAGAAAATACTGTCCTAGAGTTAGTTTACTACAAGTAGAAATAGTTGACATTAGTCAGTCACGTTCGCGGGGAACATTCAAAAGCACGCGTGTTCGACGCACTTTTCAATTGTGTTGTTCCTACGTTTCTGTATTTTTGCATATAAAACCACTCCTAGTTTGGTTGTACTTCGAATCATGTTTCAGCCTCATCAGGTATTTTACATTTCGAACGTGTGATAACTATAGATGACACACTATACATAAAACTGTAATAGAAGTTCTCTACAAATGATTTTTCTGTTCGAATTTATGTCAAATTTACAGTCCTTTTTAACGCTTCAAATAATTACACTCGACAAGCTTATAATCATCGTAAATAATTAACAAATAGGATTTAAATAGGATTATGGGAGATCAAGAACAAACATAATTCGGGACGAATGTAACAGTTATAAAACAAATGTCGATCAACCAACATTCCTCTCCTCCCATCTTACTACACAAATTCCATTTGTCATCCACCTCAGTTATCGCCAACACGCAGCTGTAAGTGGTTTTCCTAATACGACAACCCTATTGAAATATTATAGCAAAAGTAAGTTTGCATTATCTCGTTCAATTGTGTATCTTTTTGTTTCAGTTCCGTAAAATCTTCTGAAAGTCTTCGTAGTATATTAAATAATTAATGTATTTTCAGGTAGATGAAACATTTTTTATGATAATAATTTGAGTTTCTTAAGTAGTTTATGTCCTTTGGTTTTTCAGGTATGCTATTTTAACAATCATGGGATTAAAGTTCCTTCCAGAATATCAAAACTATTCGTAAAAGGAACATGGACCAAGGGCTGCCTTCTGTTAGAATTACATAAATTAGCTGCCAAAGAGGTTACAAACGAAGAAGTGTCTCCCAGACTCAAAATCGGTTAAACTATGCTACGTGACATTTTTTCGACATATTAAAAAGCAAAAAAATATAATTGTAAAGGGTCAAACTGGTCTACCTTCTGGTTGTTATACATCGAGAAACAGGGTGTTTTCAAACGAAGACGAAATAGTTTTGGAACATTATTTGTTGTATACAAAAATTAGCTTACAAGTTGGTTTTTTTCAGTTTAGATGCGGTGTTACAATAATCCCTAGGGGTAGGAACAAAAGTAACAAATGTGTGATTTTAAGGAAAATCTTATTTCAAAAAACTGGTATAATATATTCTAAGTTTTAAAGTTTGATTATGTTGTCCAATAATCCAGGTTTCTCATCATATAAAAAGTTTCTGAAAATTCTCCTCTATTCAAAAGTTGCAGACCGAAAAAGAATAATTGTTACGTTTGTCCCTGGTCTTCCTTACAACATTCGTATGCATTGCTGCTATAAATTATTCAAACGTAATTTGTGTTTCGGCGAGTAAAAATACATTCCTAAGAAAAGTGATTGAAAAGCACTGTACATAGAAAATATTCATGAGGCAGGTATACGATACGGAAGAGATTATATCAATCTTACTGTATGTAGAATGTTGTAAGATAATATTGCCATTTGTTTCGCTACATCACCAAGAAAATATACCAATAACGTTACACAGTGTTGAAAGAAAAATTTTCAAGAGCAAAGAAATCTCCGAGTAAAAACACGCGGTAATATCGATGAACGTATCACAAATCGTAGTACGTGCACGAAAGTAAGATAAAAGTAAAAACGCGCAAAGAGGTTCGAAAAGACGAACGGGAGAAACGAGAGACAGAATTTCAGTCAAAACGTGAACGATTCATTCATGAATTATACAAAATATCGATGGATATTGAATTCCAGGAAATTTTCGAAGGTGCCCAGTGGTGAATGTTTGCGCGGACGGGAGTGAAAGGAAGGAAAATACGGTGGACGAGACACGAGGGGGTGAAGCGCGAATAATCTGTATAGATAGACTCGGATAGATCTGGAGAGCGGAGAAACCGCGTAGGAAACAATCAGGAGGACCGAGAGACGATGAAGAGGTTCGGGGGACGAAGAGGGGGGGGGGTGGTTTTCTGGGTGGCTGGTAGGCCTGTCCTCCCATGGGACGCCATTGTCATCCCCCTGCGGAGTGCGTCCATACGATCCGGGAGTCCGGGACTCCGTCGAAAAATCAAACGCATACCTTCAACCAGCAACGCCTGGTTTTTTCCTTTCACGTTTGTGCGATCAGTCCCAAGCGAAATTGTAAGAGGGACTCGTCTCTGTTTCTTTTTGTCGCCTCGTTCGTTTCCATATTACCATTTCCTTTGGTGCTTCTTTGTCTCCCGTCGTTTTCCCGCGTTTCCCGCGTCCGGGAGGTAAATACAAGGGAAGGCGTACACGGAACACGGATGGAACGCCGGTTCATTTAATTTTATGGTCACCGACAGGAATAAAATCGTTTCAGGTACTCGGCGTTATATGTATGTATACCCGCGGCTCATAATCCCTATCGTCTCGCGCTGATTTATCTCGTGCCACGTCTCATCGGCCTTCACGTTCGCCGTCTTTTTTATTCGTCATAAAAGCATCGGGGAATACGGCGGCTGTGCTGGTAATATAAATAATGCGTAAGCGACGAAGAATAATGAAGTCATTAAACTACGTTGAAGCACGCGTAATCGTCCGAAGTAATTACGATCGTGGATGGCTTATCTTCTATTAAATCAAATTTGATCGTACGATAAATATGCTGTTCCATGTTAACTATACACGGTTGCCCTTTTTTTTCAGGAAACTTGTTCCTGTAAGTTTTTTGGTTCTTTTTTTACTCTGTTCCGGATGTCCTTACGATGTTTCAGAAATTACCAATATACGATTATCTACATCAATCAAAACAGGACGTATTTAGAATCACGAGACTAATTTTTCCGTTTAGCGGTGCAACGAAACGACCGGTTCGTATCCCTTCGCGATATCGTACGCGAAGATATCATCAACGAGCGCATACCTATATTATCGTACATTTCACGCAGCTGGACTATCTAAACGATACTGTTATTGTGAACTGTGCGATCCCGGTTGCAAGCTGTCAACTGAGCCGGACGTTTGGCACGAAATCCATATAGTTCGGAAAGTGAAAGGAAAAAATGAAAACCGATCCGAATCCCCCGTTGTTCGCGCGGAGTGTCCGGAAGGGAATGCTCGACGAGATATATGTATAGAGAGAAGAAAGAGGAGGTGGAGGAGGTGTAGGAGAAGGGGAGGATACACAGAAAGAGAAAGGGAAAGAAACGTATCGATCTCCCTGCTACATGCTTCTCGTATCTATCCGTATCCGAGTACTATAGGTACTCTAGCTTTCGTGTTAACGGCTGCAGTTCGCTGCCCTTAAAGCACTGAGCGAATTTAATTTCGTTTACTCTTAGAGGACGTTAAGATCTTATCGGGATGCTGGATGGGTATTCAAAGCATTGTACTTTGGCTTATCGCCGCTGTGAATCTCGCTCTAAACACGATGTCTTTATCGTGCCTGAGGCGTGGAGAACGACAACGGCATCGAGTCTTTCACGGATACGAAACTCATCGACGTGGCTACATCACTTCGATAATGCTGCAACAGCGTCACTTAACGTTAGATACGCGCGAAAAAAAAGGAGACATCAACAGAATCGTTACAATTGGAATGGATTTACTTTATATATTTTATGAAAAATATTTGTACAAGTAAGCTATGGAGTTCCTGCATTTATAACACGCAGAAGACTATCCAAAACTCGATGTAGTACAAAGTATAACAGTGTAATGGGGTTCTTATCTGCTTTAGAACCTGATCGTATAAGTCTTGATACACTAAACAGATTTCTATGTGATTCCAGTTTTTGGGAGCTAATCCACGAAAATGTATATTTGCATAAATATATGTTGCCTAATTGTAAGTTATACAGGGTGATCTGTAATTGGTGGTATAACCGGAAAGGAGCCAATTCTACATAAAACAATAAGTCAAAAATATAGAATAAAATTTTTTTGTCTGAAACTCCGTTGTCGAAAGAATCAACCTTGAAAATCTGTTGGCTATGCGTGCAATTGAGTAGGATTTTGCTAGCACATCCGTTCATTGAATTCCATTTCTACTTCCTACCATGATGGATACACGCGTTTCAGAGTAATTTTCAAAGTTGATTTTTTTGAAAGCAATGCCTCCTTCGAGAAAAGTTAATTGTATATTTCGAACTTATTTTTTTACCGATCATACTGTGTAATGCAATGTAAAGGATACATATCTCTTTATTGCCTACTTTAAGTAGCGAAATGGCTCCTTAAAAATTGAAACTTGTCATTTTTGTCAACTTTCCTTTTATTTAAAGAAATAGGAGAAGTTACTAACAATAATTCAATCAATTATTATGAATTTCCGTACTTACATGAAGGGAAATAAGTGTG